GAGGACGCATGAGGAGAACACGCTGTGGAACAGAGGAAGGACGAAGTGCCATACTGTGCGTGCCGGGAACACGGCGACCAGTGCAAACAGCGCGAACAGGCGAGGCAAGACAAGACGCAGGCTCACGATGCTCAGTAAGACCTCCTGTCTGCTCAGTGTATGGAGAAGGAGCAGGCAGTGGGGAGCCTGGCTGTAACGGGAGACCAGTAGAAGACGGGAGACTAAGAACCTGGCGAAGCACCGAGCCAGGCGGCGGCAGAGACGACGATGACGGTGGAGCGAAGAACAGACGCGACGGTGCAGCACCACCTGTACCAGCTCCTCCAGCACCAGCACCTCCAGTACTAGCACTAGCAGCTCCAGCACCTCTAGCTCCAGAAACTCCAGCTCTAGCACCTCCAGCAACTCCAGAAACTCCAGCTCCAGCACCTCCAGCTCCCGGGTCACCAGCTCCAGCGCCTACAGCTCCAGGGCCTCTAGCTCCAGAGTCCGCAGCACCACCAGCTCCGGCCGCTCCAGTACCTCCAGCTCCCGCGCCTCCAGCCGTAGCGCCTCCAGCCTTGGCAGCGCCACTCCGACGGCTGCAGTGCTGAGAGTACCACTTGCGTAGCTGCTGCGGCGAGAGAGCACCTCCAGAACCTCCAGGACGAGTACCTCCAAGACTAGCAGTGCCAGCTCCACCAGCACCACCAGTAACGATAGTACCACCAGCTCCGGCAGCTCTAGTACCTCCAGTACGAGCACCTCCAGAACTAGTAGTACCTCCAGCACCACCAGTCTCAGCAACTCCAGACTCCGGACCCGCAGGTTCAGCACCCTCAGGCTCCACACCCGCAGGCTCCGCACCCCCAGGCTCCACACGCTCAGGCTCAGCACCCCCAGGCTCCACCCGCTCAAACTCAGCACCCCCAGGCCCCACCCACTCAGGCTCAGCACCCCCAGGCTAAGCACCCCCAGGCTCCACACGCTCAGGCTCAGCACCTCCAGGCTCAGCACCCCCAGGCTCACGCACAGGCTCAGCACCCTCCAGGCTCACGCACAGGCTCAGCACCCTCAGCAGCACCAGAGTCACCAGTGACCTCGATAGGCTCAACCAAGGGGAGTGGGTCTACCTGAGACACACCTGAAGGAGCAGAACCCTGAGGGGGGAGGGGGTCTACTGGAGGGGGACCTGGAGCAAGGAAGAGCGGCGGGGGAGGGGGAGGGGCAGTGCGGTAGGGGAAGAGACGGCAAAAGGGAATCGACTCGTCAAACGTGATGTCCTGAGAGGGCAGAACACGGCGCGAGGTGGGGTGGTAAAACTGCCAGCCAGGCGCGTCAAGGGGAAAACCAAGGAAGACACAGGGAACGGCACGGGCTGAGAGTTTGTCCGCGGAGGTATCGCGGACAAAGGCACGAGATCCCGCGACCCGGAACACTGACGCATCGCCAACCTCTCCCGTCCACCGCAGTGTCGGCGAGGTCTCCGGCAAGGAGATAAGCGGCTAGAGGTTAAGCTGATGCGTAGTGTACCGGACTGCGAACGGCCACAGATAATGGGGGGCAGCCGCATGGATCATGGAGGTACGAGCGACCTCCATGACTAGGCCAATGTGGCGCTCAGCAACCCCATTCTTCTGCGGAGAGGCCGGAAGCGTGGACGACAAGGTGATGCCCTCCTCTTGACAAGTTCCGGCAAGAGGTCGGAGGAGAACTCACCACCTCTGTCAGAGTGCAAACGCAGGACAGGAAGGTCCTGGTGGAACCGCTCTCAGAGCTGGAGACGGATAGCGCGGATCCAAGATATCAAGACACCAGGGACCTCACCCTTGTTGCGCAAGGGGAAGACCGTGGTGTAACGCGAGTAGTCGTCAACAACCAGCAGAAAATACCGCTCACGGCCCTGTCCTTGGACGCGAGCTGGGCCCCACACGTCCATATGGAGAGTCTGCAGGGGAGCCTCACTCGGAGGGAAAGAGGAGGAGTGAGGAGCGGCGCGCTGCCGCCCCTCGACGCAGGGAAGACAGGGCGGGGCAGGCGAGCACGGGAAGGGGGGCAGAGGCCTGGGAAGACCAGAGACAAGGAGACGGGAATGCATGCCACGGAGGCGTGGCAGGGAGGGGTGACTAAGGCGGTGGTGCCACAGGAGGGTTTGGTGCGACAGGGCGCGACACGAGCAGGAGGCTGCTAGCTGACCTGACGCGGACGCAGACGCAGCTACCTAAGGAGGCGCAGTAGTCAGTGTGTACAGGCTCGACCCAGGCCGACGGGTGAACGTAGCTATGTGACGGCCCATCCGTGCACACGTGCAGATCGCTACACGCTGTCCTCCAGGAGTAAAGGTATTAACCCATGCATCCTGAAGGACAGCGTTGCTCACCAAGTTCGTAGAGAACGAGGGGAGGTGCAGACCTGAGAGTGAGCCGGACGGAACCGCCGTACACGGGAGAACAGTGGAGGAACGTGCAAGAACCGGTCCCCCAGAGGGGTCAGCCAAAGCGACGGCAACCGGTGCTGCGAGGGGTGTGACTGTGGTGCTGTCTCGAAAGAAGTATTGGGAAGCACGTGAGTCAAGCGTGAAGGTGTGCAAGGCCTCAGCAGGCGTAGTATCAGAGAGAGCACTCTCACCAGCACCTAGAGCAGACTCACTAGCACCTAGCAGCAACCTCTATGCCTGGGTCGGGCGGCACACACAGGTAACAGTCACCCTCAGCACTAACAGTCAATGCATACATAGCAGCAAGAATAGCATCATAGTCAAGAACAGAGATATCTACATCGCGCTTAAGCAAGTCTGCCCAGCGGGGAAGCTCAGGTGCATCAGGAAACTGTGTGCACTAGGCATCGTCAAGACAAGAGAAGCAGCGGTACTCGGTGTGAAACTTCCCGCAGGGCTGACCAGTGCGGGGACCTGTACGTATGACATACGGGCAGCGGACAGCACCCCCAGACGCCCCACACTGAGCATACAAGTCACGGAGCTGCTGGGGTGTAAGGGTCTTGCGCGGACGCAGCTGCTGCTACTGCCTCTGACTGCCACCAGAGCCTCCCCTCTGAAAGGCTGCACCTCGACCGCCACCACTGTCGCCGCCACCGCTCCCACTGCCGCCACCGCTCCCACTGCCGCCACCACCGCTGCTGCCGCCTCCACCGCCACCACTCCCACTGCTGCCGCCTCCGCCACCTCCACTCCCACTGCTACCGCTACCGCCGCCACCGACGCCTCCACTCCCGCCACTACTCCCACCGCCACCTCCGCCACCTCCACCACCCCCGTCGCCTCCACCACCCCCCCCCCCCTCCGCCACCTCCACCACCCCTGCCGCCCTTGCCCTTGCCGCTGCGGCGCCACCCACTAGGAGCAGAAGCAGCGCCGACTTCCTCAGCACCAAGGAGGACAACAGCAGCAGCAGAAGCGTAGGAGGGGGCAAGGGGGGAGGTGGAACACCCCTCAAAGAGGGGATTGCGAGGAGTGCCACGAGCAGCACCTACAGCGACAATTCTCTTCTCTGCTGCAAGCAGGTGCTTCTCGAAGTCGTCGACAGTGAGGGCGGTAGGGTCAAGAGCGAGAAAGTGGTCCCTGACCGTACGAAGAGAGTCAGGGAGGCGGGTGACTAGGAAGTAGAGCGTGATGTACATCGGGGGCAGGTTCGTGGCTAAGAACTCGGCTGAGAGAGCGGCACGGTAGCGAACGTCACTAGCGCAAAGGTGGGAGATGAGGTCCTCAACTGTGGTAAAGGAGGACAGCTCTGGGAACAGGTAGGGCAGGATAAGGCGGCTGAGAGCAGCAGTGGCAGGGGAAGAGTAGCGAGCGACTACAGCGGTGTACAGGTCCTTAGCGGTCTTGTGCTGTCTGAAGTGAGCACGTTCAGCTAACGGCAGATGGTTGCGAATAGCTAGGCGAGCAGCTGCGTCACGGGTCTGCCACTGTGAACAAGAGAGGCTGTCAGCTGTGGCAGGAGGAGGGGCTGAGGAGCCAGACGCATGGTCAAACAGGGAAACGTCGTCTTTAGCATCAGTCATTAGGTACAGTTGCAGGTCATCAAGCCACGTGGCGAACTCTATCGGGCGGCCGTCAAGGTCGAACGAGAGGACGTTGAACGTAGCCATGGCTGCAGCGCGGCGCACAGGCAGGCAGAGGCGGCGCTCGGGCAGCAGAGGCAGCGCGCAGGCAGTAGAGGCGGCGCGCTGGCAGGCAAAGGCGGCGTGCGAGCAGCAATGGCAGGGCGCGGGCCGCAAGGGCTGCAGACTGGCGGCGCGCGGGCAGGAGTAGCAGGGCAGCAGAGCAGCAGGGCAGTAGCAGTAGCTTAGCAGCAACAGCAGTGCAGCAACAGCAGAGCAGTAACAGTAGCACAAGCGGCAGCAGAGGCAGTGCAGGTGCGCGAGCGGCAGAGCAGGTGCGCGCGGGCCTGGCGCGGGCTGTATGGGCTGCGCGCGGGCCTGGCGCGGGCTGTACGGGCCGCGCGCGGGCCTGGCGCGGGCTACACAAGCTGCGCGCGGGCCTGGCGCGGGCTGCACGGGCTTGGCGCGGGCTGCACGGGCTGTGCGCGGGCCGCGCACGGGCTGTTAGGGCTGCGCGCGGCAGGGCAGAGCAGGGCAGCGCGAAAGCGCTGGGTTAGGACCAGGGTTTAGAAGAAAAACAGGGCCCTTAGAAAAAAAACCGGTCCTTAGAAGGACCTGCTCTATATCCGGAGCTGAACAAACAATCTGATTACAATCCCTGGCATTATCAATACAAAACAAAACTACAAGCCCCTTCCGGGTTATTCCATACAAGTCGTGTTGAGAGAGTTAGGTGAAAGGTGAGTGATTGGGTCTAGGACGGGGTACAAACAAGAATGTCGAGGTGAGAACTGTACCCCCTAAGGCTAGCCCCTATATAGCCTAGACAAATCAATAGCATATATTTTGACAAGTCGGAGCGACCGGGAACCAAGCATGGGCCCCAATGCAAGCACAGCAGCAGTGCCATGCAACGGAAGGCATGTGGACAAGTCTGCTGAAGGCCACCCACACTAGCTTCACCGCATTTTCTTCCGGGCCACCACACCAGCATTGGGTGATCTTGGCGGGTGTGCATTGCGATGGCAAAAGACGAATGTCTTTGCTCCCACTGATTTGCTGCCCTCCTCCGTGTTCTCCACCATCACTCCCGTCTTGCCTCCAATGGTGCGTCGGTGGCCATAGCTGCACACACCACACAGGCTCGCAGCGGCATCGCTCACTGCTTCAGTCAACACCAACACCAAAACGCAAGCTTCATAGCCATGCACCCAGCTCCCCATATGTGCAACTCCTAAACCAACCCCTGCCAATCTCCCTGCCCGCGCTTTTTGGCTTCCCTGCCCTGCCCTGACGCACCCTGGGAAGTGGTCGGCATGGAAGCGGTGGGTGAACTTGAGGCGCAGCGCACGAGACTCCTCCGCCAGCGCGGGTGCGTTCCACAGGCTGTACGGGTGCCCCGTGCGCAGCGACACTCGCACCTCGCCCTGCGGCGCCACCAGCGGCGCTGCACTCACAAAGAAGTCAAATAGCAACTGCCGATTGCGCTGCAGTGCACCACCAGGGGGAAGAAGAGCAAGGGGGGGGGGGGCGGGGGGGGGGGGAGGGGGAGAAAGAGGAGCGGATTCACAATGGAGGTGTTGAGAGCGCAAATGCACTAGTTTACTGGGCAGAGGGTGAAGAGAGGCAAGGGTGGATGTGTGGCATGACTCCACACGGCACGGCATGGCGTAACACGGCACAGTATGGCATGGCACAGTTAAGTGATTGAGTGGTGCGCAGCAGGAATGGCAGTGCACGGGGCAGCAAAGGTGGGGGGGCAACGAGTGAAAGTGACACATGGGTGTGCGAGGCGTGCACACTGATGGGCGCCACCAGCAGAGGCACAAGCAGTGGCAGGGGCAGGGGAAGGGGCAGGGGGAAGGGGCAGGGGGGAGGGGAGTGGGGTGGGCGGAGAGGAGACCTGGACGTTGATGCGCTCGTCCTTGATGCCGAGCCCCACGTGGGGGAAGTTGAACACTATCCTGAGAGGCACACGGCACCACACACAGCACGGACAGCACATGCACGTGCGCAGGTGATGCGCACGAACAGCAGTACCGGTGGTGCACTGGGGTTTAAGGTAGCATGGCAGTAAGGCGCGTGCATGCAATGGCTCACCGGTCAAAAGGCTTTTCCAACGGATTTGCTTTCCCCTTCCTGCGCCGCTTGCCTGCAGGAGTGCGTTGAGGGACAGGCGGGAGAGCGAGATGAAGGGCATTCGAGGTAACGAGCATGAAAAAGAAGGAGAAAGGGAGGGAGGGAGGGGGATACCGAGGTGCAGAGTGTGAGCGAGGCGAGTGGCGTCGACATTGAAGAGCACGTGTGCCCCGCCCGCCTCCACCTCCTGCAGCACCGCGCCCGCCTCCTCCCCATACTTCTGCACGCACAGCACATGCCAGCACGCCCCATGAGCGCACAGGCCACCTGTGCGGTGACATGCAGCAAGGAGGGGTGGCATGGCTTGTGGTGGTGGGGCACGTTAGGGCGAACCTGCACGATGGTGTGGCGCGAGTCAAGCGCCGTGGCGAAGAGGGCCAGTGGGCGCGCGGGCGCCATGAGGCGCAGGAGAGCACGCGTGAAGGAGAAGTCGCCCTCGCCCACCAGCAGAATGCGCTGTGCCATGGCATAGTTGTTGGGGGTGGCGCATGGCACGGGAAGAGCAGATAATGGGGGTGGGGGACGGCAATGGAAGAGCAGAGAATGGGGGTGGGGGGCGGCAAGTGAAGAGCAGAGAATGCGGAGTGACGGAGGAATGTAGAGGCGCGGTTGAGAGGAGTGAGGGGGAGAAAATAGAAAGATAGGAGGGAGAGAGAAGCGGAGGGGGAGGTGCCCATGTTGGGCTACCAAGCATGGTGCAACCCTAACATCTTGGCTTCACCTGTGCTCTCCGTGCTTTGGCCCAGGCTGTCACCTCGCCCTCGCTATCCACCACATGCCACATGCCACATGCCACATGGCGCTGTGGTGGATGCAGCAGAGGCAAGGAGAGGGGTTACCTGTGACGGGTGGAAGCCTCTCAGACCAGACGGCCCTTCCCCTCGCTCCCTCTTCTTGCCTTTCGCACCTTTGCCTCTCCTTGCTACATCCTCCTCCTCATCTCCCTCCTCCTCCTCCTCCCCTTCATCCTTCCCACTTCCCCCCCCCTCCTCGTCCTCCTCGTCCTCCCCCTCCGCTTCTTCCTCCATCCCTCGCTTCTCACTGCTCCTCACTCCAAAGGGCCTTCCCCCATCCTTGCCCTCCGTGCCTGCATCGTCCGCCCCCCCCATCCGCCCCCCTACCACTCGCACACTGCCCCGCCCATCACCGCCCCCACCTCCCTCGTCCCCTTGCAGCCTCACCTCCACAGCGCCGCGCTCAACCCCCCCTTTCGAACCCATCCCGCCCGCACCTTCCCCGCCAACCTCAGAGCTCTCACCCCCCTCCGCCCTCCCCGCCTGCTCCTCCCCAGTCTCTGGGCTTCCGCCCGCGCTGAGACGCAATGGAAGGGGGTGGGGCGGCAGCGGAGGCAGAAGGGTCGAGGTAAGGAGCGGCGTGGGGGAGTGGGAGGAGGTGTGCATGGCGCATGGCCGAGGCATGGGACCAAGGGCACAGCGCCGGGGTTCATGGGAGGAGAAATTCCGCTAAGGGAGCACATCCACTCGCAACACCACGTCGCTCAACCCAAAACCCAGAACCGCCCCCCCCCCCCTCACCTCTCTCTCCGCTCCTCGCCGCCGTCTCTGTCCTCCGCTCCCACCACCGCATCGTTTCTTCGATCCCTCCACGCGCCCGCGTGCCTCGCCTCGCCGCGCGCCTCCACCAGCCCCTTCTTTGCCTTCTCCACTGCTCCCCGCCTGCTGCCCCCACCGCCTCTCGTCTGAGCCGCTCCCTTTGCACTCTTCCGCTGAGGTTTTCCCGCGCCCCCGCCTCCCCCGCTACTCGCGATACGCTTGGCGTGCAACGCCGCTGCGAGCTGCTTTCGGCGGAGCTGACTCTTCTGCTCGTGGCGCTGCCGTTTCTGCTGGCGCTTGCTCATGGCGAAGCGGACGCGGACGCGGAAGCAAACGGGAGGCGGAGGAGGAGCCGGCGGAGAGCGGAGCACCCGAGGGAATGCGCTACGACTGATGAGGGGATGGGGTAAAGGCACCCGACTCTGCGAACGAACCCAACATGCAGGAATGAAGTAGAGACCTGGTGGGGATGACACAAGGTATATGTCACACGGACGGGAAGAAACTAGAGAAAACTCTGGCACATGCTGCAGAGTGTTGCGAATGGAGCTCGGTAGGTAGATGGTATGGCGGTGCGCGGGGCAAGTTTCATTCGTTGGTCCGAACTTTGGATGGTAGGGCGCGTTACATCTTTCCGGGTTTACCGGCCGGCGATTTTGCTGAAAGAAGTAATACAGATCGCATCCGATCGCTGCAGATTGCTACAGATTGCTTTTATATAAGGGCGCGTGTGATCTTTTCTCAAGTTCGGAAAAAAGGTCTAACTTTGAGTGGTTACCCGTTTTGCCAATGTCGCCAAATGCTTTGGCGAAGGCATGAATATTTTGGGGGCACATAAGTGTGAATGTCAAATGTGAACTCAACTCGAATCACACGGTTGACCTGAGCGTGCACGTTGAAGCGAGCGTGTGTTGTTTTCAGCACGTACAACGACCATACGAACATCGCGATTTTTTCTTAAAGCCCAAGACCTGAATTACAAATCAAAAAGGGCAAACTGTGCACAGTTTGCCTTCCGAGCCCAATGAACACCTCCCGAGCCAGTGGGGTTACCAGAAAACGTCGCACCCCACAAAGACCGCGTCGTAGAGCAGAACGCTTCAACTTGGCGAGAGTTCCAACCACCCCTGCTGAAGGAAGAAGGGAACTGCCTGTGCACAGTTTGCCTAGAAATGGTAATTCAGGAATGCCTGTGCGGCTACTAAGCGAGACTCTAAGCTTTTGCCCCTAGCACATTCCCACCTTCAACCCCGATGCAACACGAAATTTAGGAATGCGCTCGTCACAAGCGTAAAATGCTCGAATCCCATATTACGAGACGTCGCGCTAAACAGGATCAAGAGGCGTAGGGAGGAAATCCCCTCACATCGGCCTCCCCCTTGACGCACCGTCATCCTCGTTTCCCCCGTGGTCCCCGTCGCCATTGCCCTCCCATCGTCCTTACCCCTATCCCCTCCCATCGCTTCCTCGTCGTCGTGCCCCATTGCGGCGCTTCGTGCACTACTCCGCGACCACCCACTTTCAGCGTCGTCGTGTCCCCACAACGCCCCGCTATCCTGACAGTCAGGCCCACGATTCCACGCGCGGGAAGCCCGTTTCTCAAGCCCACGTTTCTCCTCCCTGCGCGCGCACCGTTCCGGTAAGCCCGCGCGGGAACCTCTCGCCACCCCGCGCGCGCTCTTCTCGCCTTCCGCGCGGTATCCCATCGCATCCCAGCGCGCGCTCCTCTTACCGCCCCGCTCGGCCTCCTCTCACCATCCAGCGCGTGCTCCTCTCGCCTCCCCTCGCGTGCTCCTCTCGCCTTCAATGCTCGCGAATCTCTTGCCTCCCCGCGCGGCCGCCTCTCGCCTCCCCGCGCAGCCTCCTCCCGCCATCCCTCGCGCGCCCCTCTCGCCTCCCCGCGCGTGCTCCTCTCTTCTCACCTACTCGTTCTCCTCTCGCCTCCCCTCGCGCGCCCCTCAAGCCTCCCCGCGCGTGCTCCTCTCTCCTCACCTACTCGTTCTCCTCTCGCCTCCCCTCGCGCGCCCCTCAAGCCCCCCCGCGCGTGCTCCTCTCTCCTCACCTACTCGTTCTCCTCTCGCCTCCCCTCGCGCGCCCCTCAAGCCTCCCCGCGCGTGCTCCTCTCTCCTCACCTACTCGTTCTCCTCTCTCTTCACCTTGCATGCCTCCCACGCCTCCCCGCGCGTGCTCCTCACTCCTCACCCTGCGTGCTCCTCTCGCCTCCCCGCGCGTGCCCCTCTCTCCTCACCTCCAATGCTCTTCGATCGCCAACCTTGCGCGTGCCCCTCTCTCCTCACCCTGCGTGGGCTCCCCTCTCCTCACCTTGCGTGCTCCCCTCTCCTCACCTTGCGTGCTCCCTCTCCTCACCTTGCGTGCTCCCTTCTCCTCACCTTGCGTGCTCCCCTCTCCTCACCTTGCGTGCTCCCCTCTCCTCACCTTGCGTGCTCCCCTCTCCTCACCTTGCGTGCTCCCCTCTCCTCACCTTGCGTGCTCCCCTCTCCTCACCTTGCGTGCTCCCTCTCCTCACCTTGCGTGCTCCCCTCTCCTCACCTTGCGTGCTCCCCTCTCCTCACCTTGCGTGCTCCCCTCTCCTCACCTTGCGTGCTCCCTCTCCTCACCTTGCGTGCTCCCCTCTCCTCACCTTGCGTGCTCCCCTCTCCTCACCTTGCGTGCTCCCCTCTCCTCACCTTGCGTGCTCCCCTCTCCTCACCTTGCGTGCTCCCCTCTCCTCACCTTGCGTGCTCCCCTCTCCTCACCTTGCGTGCTCCCCTCTCCTCACCTTGCGTGCTCCCCTCTCCTCACCTTGCGTGCTCCCCTCTCCTCACCTTGCGTGCTCCCTCTCCTCACCTTGCGTGCTCCCCTCTCCTCACCTTGCGTGCTCCCCTCTCCTCACCTTGCGTGCTCCCCTCTCCTCACCTTGCGTGCTCCCTCTCCTCACCTTGCGTGCTCCCCTCTCCTCACCTTGCGTGCTCCCCTCTCCTCACCTTGCGTGCTCCCCTCTCCTCACCTTGCGTGCTCCCTCTCCTCACCTTGCGTGCTCCCCTCTCCTCACCTTGCGTGCTCCCCTCTCCTCACCTTGCGTGCTCCCCTCTCCTCACCTTGCGTGCTCCCCTCTCCTCACCTTGCGTGCTCCCCTCTCCTCACCTTGCGTGCTCCCCTCTCCTCACCTTGCGTGCTCCCCTCTCCTCACCTTGCGTGCTCCCTCTCCTCACCTTGCGTGCTCCCCTCTCCTCACCTTGCGTGCTCCCCTCTCCTCACCCTGCGTGCTCCCCTCTCCTCACCTTGCGTGCTCCCCTCTCCTCACCTTGCGTGCTCCCCTCTCCTCACCTTGCGTGCTCCCTCTCCTCACCTTGCGTGCTCCCCTCTCCTCACCTTGCGTGCTCCCCTCTCCTCACCTTGCGTGCTCCCCTCTCCTCACCTTGCGTGCTCCCCTCTCCTCACCTTGCGTGCTCCCCTCTCCTCACCTTGCGTGCTCCCCTCTCCTCACCTTGCGTGCTCCCCTCTCCTCACCTTGCGTGCTCCCCTCTCCTCACCTTGCGTGCTCCCTCTCCTCACCTTGCGTGCTCCCCTCTCCTCACCCTGCGTGGGCTCCCGTCTCCTCACCTTGCGTGCTCCCCTCTCCTCACCTTGCGTGCTCCCTCTCCTCACCTTGCGTGCTCCCCTCTCCTCACCTTGCGTGCTCCCCTCTCCTCACCTTGCGTGCTCCCCTCTCCTCACCTTGCGTGCTCCCTCTCCTCACCTTGCGTGCTCCCCTCTCCTCACCTTGCGTGCTCCCCTCTCCTCACCTTGCGTGCTCCCCTCTCCTCACCTTGCGTGCTCCCCTCTCCTCACCTTGCGTGCTCCCTTCTCCTCACCTTGCGTGCTCCCCTCTCCTCACCTTGCGTGCTCCCTCTCCTCACCTTGCGTTCTCCCTCTCCTCACCTTGCGTGCTCCCCTCTCCTCACCTTGCGTGCTCCCTCTCCTCACCTTGCGTGCTCCCCTCTCCTCACCTTGCGTGCTCCCCTCTCCTCACCTTGCGTGCTCCCCTCTCCTCACCTTGCGTGCTCCCCTCTCCTCACCTTGCGTGCTCCCTTCTCCTCACCTTGCGTGCTCCCCTCTCCTCACCTTGCGTGCTCCCTCTCCTCACCTTGCGTTCTCCCTCTCCTCACCTTGCGTGCTCCCCTCTCCTCACCTTGCGTGCTCCCCTCTCCTCACCTTGCGTGCTCCCCTCTCCTCACCTTGCGTGCTCCCTCTCCTCACCTTGCGTGCTCCCCTCTCCTCACCTTGCGTGCTCCCTCTCCTCACCTTGCGTGCTCCCCTCTCCTCACCTTGCGTGCTCCCCTCTCCTCACCTTGCGTGCTCCCCTCTCCTCACCTTGCGTGCTCCCTCTCCTCACCTTGCGTGCTCCCCTCTCCTCACCTTGCGTGCTCCCCTCTCCTCACCTTGCGTGCTCCCCTCTCCTCACCTTGCGTGCTCCCCTCTCCTCACCTTGCGTGCTCCCTTCTCCTCACCTTGCGTGCTCCCCTCTCCTCACCTTGCGTGCTCCCTCTCCTCACCTTGCGTTCTCCCTCTCCTCACCTTGCGTGCTCCCCTCTCCTCACCTTGCGTGCTCCCCTCTCCTCACCTTGCGTGCTCCCCTCTCCTCACCTTGCGTGCTCCCCTCTCCTCACCTTGCGTGCTCCCCTCTCCTCACCTTGCGTGCTCCCTCTCCTCACCTTGCGTGCACCCCTCTCCTCACCTTGCGTGCTCCCCTCTCCTCACCTTGCGTGCTCCCCTCTCCTCACCTTGCGTGCTCCCCTCTCCTCACCTTGCGTGCTCCCTTCTCCTCACCTTGCGTTCTCCCCTCTCCTCACCTTGCGTGCTCCCCTCTCCTCACCTTGCGTGCTCCCCTCTCCTCACCTTGCGTGCTCCTCTATCCTCACCTTGCGTGCTCCTCTATCCTCACCTTGCGTGCTCCTCTATCCTCACCTTGCGTGCTCCTCTCTCCTCACCTTGTGGCCTCCTCTCTCCTCACCTTGCGTGCTCCTCTCTCCTCACCTTGCGTGCGCCTCTCTCCTCACAATACATGCGACCATACTGGATTAAAGGGAGGGACCGTCTCCTTGCGACGCTTCGTGAAATGGCTCCGCTACCACCCACTTTCGACGTATGCGGGTCCCTACCACTTCCCACTATCCTGACAGGGGCGCCCACGTTTCCTCACTCGGGAATCCCGTGCACACGCACACGTTTCTCCTCCCAGCGCGCGCACCTGCCTGGTAAGCCCGCGCGAGATCCTCTCGCCTCCCGCGTGCGCTCTTCTCGCCACTCGCGCGGCATCCTATCGCCCCCCCGCACGCGCTCCTCTTGCCTCCCCGCGCGTCCTCCTCTCACCATCCCTAGCGTGCTCCTCTCGCCTCCCCTCACGTGCTCCTCTCTCCACACCATGCGTGCACCTCTTTCCTGTACCTCGCGTCCTCCTCTCTCCTCACCTCGCGTCCTCCTCTCTCCTCACCTCGCGTCCTCCCCTCTCCTCACCTTGCGTGCTCCTCTCTCCTCACCTCACGTCCTCCTCTCTCCTCACCTCACGTCCTCCTCTCTCCTCACCTCGCGTCCTCCTCTCTCCTCACCTCGCGTCCTCCTCTCTCCTCACCTTGCGTCCTCCTTTCAACTCACCGCACGTCCACCTTTCTACTCACCTTGCGTCCTCCTTTCAACTCACCGCACGTCCACCTTTCTACTCACATTGCGTCCTCCTTTCCTCCAAATCACCAACAGTGAGGATCTAGGAGGCGTGAGGGACTTCACCTTCTCTCTCCACGCTGCCTCCGCGTCTCGCGACAGCCTCCGTTGGCGTCGCTGATCGCGTCTTTTGCCCTCACCCCCGCCCACACTCTTGCAACGGCGGTGCTTCCGCAGTCCCCCTGCACGCCCGCAGAAAACCCTCGTTGCACGCCCTCTATTTCCCACATGTACGCCCTCGCTCCCCCTCTGCTCCTCTTGTCCCCCTATGCTCATCTTACCCCCTTCCGCTGGTCCTTCTCCTTTCTGCACCACTTCCAACCCGAAGCTCCGCTGTTCCCCCTATGCCCCTCTTTTTCCGCCCAGCTCCACTTTTCTCCTGTGAGGCTCCTTCGCTCTCTGCTCCTCTTTCCCTCCTCTGCTCCTCTTGTCCCCCTCTACTCATCTTTGCCCCCTCACTCCCTTCCATCCCACTCAAATGTCACCCTCCCTCCCTGTTTATCACCCTATTTTTTGCCTCGCATCCCAAATGTTCTGACACCACCCTCCTCACAGCTTCCCCACATTGGGATTCCCACCTCATTATTCATAGTTTCTGAGTATTCTGTCTTCAAATCTGACATCCATCACTAGCCATCCACAGCACCTTGACATCAATTCTGCAATTCCCTCCCTCCCATCCGCACTTTCCCCGTCCCCTACTACGCCAGCTCACTCGCCCCGATCTTCTGTTGCTACTCAAGCGCCCGTGCACCCGACGCCGGTTCTTTAGATGGGAGCCCTCCCCCCTTCCATCTCTGCACCCCTACCTTCCCAACCCCCAGCCGTCCCATTTCAAGAACCTATTACACAGTCTCCATCCCTAATCTTCCTGCCCACACAGGTTCAATATGGTCCCTCGGTTGATGCTTCATTCCTCTCGTGCTCTCCCTGCCTTATCTTTCCTCCAAATCACAGCCCCTTAACACTACTTTCCATCACCCCTATTAGCCGTCCCATTGCCCTTTTCCACACTGAACCATCACTCTCCCTTTCCTACTTCTCTCACATTAGTTTAGGGGTTTAGGGTCCCCGCGTCCCACAAGCTCATACGCGAGCACCCTCACCGCCTTCCCATGTTGGAAATCCCCCTGCATTATACCGAGTTGCCGTGGGTGCCATTCTAGCTCCCATGCCGTCCCCTTTCTGGGTTGCCCATCCTCAATCCCTTCCATCCCACCTCTCCTCTCTTCCATCGCAGCACCCTCGCATCCTGAGTTTCTGATTAGCCTTACTTCCCATCTGCCATCTCTCCCTTGCCATCCTCCGAACCTCTTTGTAATTAAATCTGCAAACCCCTCTTTCCCATCCGCACTTGCCCCGTCCCCTCCTATTCCTCTCCCGTCACCGGCGCACACATAGTACCACTATTTCTCTCACTTCTCCTCTTTCCCATCCGCAATTGCCCCGTCCCCTCCCATTCCTCTCTCTTCCCCTTTCTTCCTTTGCTTCACAGCGGCCTGTGAACCCGGCTTCAGTCCTTGCGCTGTAAGTCCACGCCCCTTTATTTCCCAGCACCCCTACCTTCACTCGTGGTTTTGGTTTGGCACCCCTTTCTTCCTTTGCTACGCTGCTCCAAACCTTATCAGAGTTCGTTCTCATGGTCCTCCGATCCGGAGGACCAACTATACGGTCTCCTTCCCTCGTCCAGCTGCCGGACCTGTCGTGCAGTTCCTGACCTTCCCACCCTCCCCTTCACATCCAACTCACTTCAGTGACTTGCGTAATCCGAAACCGAAGCCCCCCCGCCCCCTCCCCTTTCACTCCCTAACCCCTCTCTCTCTCTTGTTTTTCTGCCTGATATTCTCGTTTCTCACACTCTAAACCACACACCTCATCAGCCATGTCATCATGGCGACGTACTCCTCGGAGACGGCTGACGCTTGGATTCAGGGTTGGGGAGGAGGGTTCCGAGGATGAGGAGGAGGAGAGGGGTCGGCGACGTGGACCGGAGTCGATGGTCACGGCAAGTACGGGCACCCTCTCCGCCCATACTCGTTCGGTTGCCGCGAGCACAACGCATCCCTTTCCCAGAGTTCGATCTCGAAGAGTTGTGCAACCAACGGGACTACCCCCACAGGTTCAATATGCAAAAGAACGGTGGTCCATATCTGAGTTTGAGGCGCGATATGCCAAGCAATATCGTGTTCTTGACGCTTGGGCGCGACATTGGCTCGGATTGTCGGACGAGGAGGGCCCCGGGAGTCAGAGAATTAGTGTGGCGAGCATTCTGAGGGTGTGCTTGGGAAAAAACACGGATGAGGATATGGATGGTCAACCTATGGGGGCAAAGAACCATCGTTTTCGTTGCTACATTCAATACTCTGCCTTGTTAGGTGATCATCAGTATGCACAGGTGACTTTGCCATGGCTAATTCACGTCGTGATCGGCTCGCTTTACCCCGAGCCAACGGGCGTGGGTTACAGAAAATGTAGTCAAGGCGATGTGGACTGGTTCAACCTGGAATGGGTCATCCCTGACGAGATTGATTTTGGGATGAGGTCAATCGATGCTAGACAATCGTCAATTGTCCACCTGGCGACTCAGGAGTCTGGAATTTACTGATTTTTAGTGCGGGAGGGAGGGTTATCGGGAACAACTTATTGTATTTACATGTGTTACTCTTTTTACACAGTCCGCAATAGTGTGATAGGTAGATGGATGACCATCACAGCAAAGCGACAACCAGATCAATGAAGTAGCCCTTTGTGTGCAGTCAAGTATGTTACTGGATGAGGAAGGGAATGTTTCAATTCCCAGCTTCTAGCCATGGGGGAGCGAGTAGAGCATACAGTGGCGACGCCGCTGTCGCTTATTATGGCACAGGCATGAAAGACATTCCATGCTGCACCATTGAAGACAATGCGTCTCCTGGAAGCTGCCGGTGTGTACTGCTTTGTTCGTCACCCTGCCACAGCTTGTGCGGCTATGGCTCATTATTACCCACACGTGAGAGGGATACGGTAGGCTGCGAGAGGAGAAGGGGAAAGACAGGCTGGAAGCAAGTGCTTGTGCAGGGGGAGGGGGGGAGTGGCACGATGTTGGCAGGGAGAGGAGATGGGGGAGAAGAGGTGGTATCGAAGGAAGGAGCCAGTACTGTAGAGACGGAGTTAGGCGAGGAAGGGGTGAGCAGGGAGCAAGGGAAATGGCTGGTGGTGACTTGGCTGATGTGCTGCGCAGCTTGGCCTTGCCCTTGCGGGTCTGAGCACAGATCGAGGCGGGAGGGCCGAGAGAGGTGGAGAGACGTGGAGAAAGGCGATCGGGAAACAAGAATGCTTAAATTGGTGCAGAGTGCTAGGGTCAGCGCTGACTGTACATTTTGAAGTGCCTTTCAGTGTAGTGCGTGCGGTGCGGACAGGGCGGCCACGGCGGGCATTCCGTGCACTACGGACAGCATGAGCAATGCAGAGCAAACTGGGCAATGACTCACCTCCCTGGCGAGGTCTCGGCCACTCTCTTCACAGATCTGCAGCATGCTCTCCGTTGGCTGACATGCAGGGGGAGATGGGAATGTGGGACGGAAGAGAGGATGGGACGGGGAAGAGAGGACGGGCAGGCAAGAGAGGATGGGACAGGAGGGATGGGCGGAACAGAAGAAATGGGTGTGCTCCCCTCTCCCGGATCGGTTAAAAATTGACGGAGAAATGGGAACCGGGAGCGAAAGGCAGGGAGATAAAACTGCTATGGCCAGGACACACGGGGCGTGCAATGGAACCTTCCTTCCCCCTCCTCACCAAGAACTTGCAGCGAATAGGTGGGATTCCGAAGGAGAACCCTCCGTCCTTCAACAGTCACCCCTGTGCATGTTGTATGCCTCTATGCCCCCCACGTCAAAGTCCTCCACCCGCTCCTGCTGCTCCGCCCTTCACCCTCTCCCCCTATCCACCGATGCATAATCTCCGCCCCTCACCCTCTCCCCCTATCCATCTCTGCATTCTCCCTATCATTAACACCGATGTAATATGTTTCATGCCCTGGCCTAGGCACGCCGAGGGTGCGACATACCTCCCACATCTGCTGATACCCGATCCCGGCAAGAGCGAATGCTCCAATCATCTTACCCATCAATGGCGGACTACGTGGACCACGCTTGCTGGGAGGTAGGTCATCTCTCACTCGACTACTTGACCATAATTCTTCCTTGGCTGAGCAAACATTGCACAACCACATCAACCCCAGACATGCCCATGACCGCTTCCACGATTCAAGTTGCATTGCACCTCTGCACGCAGACCTCACGCACGTGCCTAAGGCGCGACCACAAAAGAACGATACCATCACCCTCGGATCGAGAAAACACACCATGTCGGCAGGAAAATCCTCCCAATTTGGGGGGTTTGGCCAACCACGAGGCCAACGACGCTTGCGCGTCACGCTGCTAGCATCCTGTCTGCATGCACAGAAATCAAGCGGGATAAGAAACTGGACTGGTTTTTCTGAGGGTGTGCACGTGCTACTGACCATCTTATTAATAAATGTGGAAAAGAACATATGGGTTATTATTTCAACACACAATTATTGCTTGTACCTGTTTGGCCCCTTAGAAGGGCCACCCGCTTGTTCGCTCGAATGAGCGCCTCGCGGTTGTGTATTGTCTTCGACACTCACCCCCTCAACCCCATACACGTTCTCGGCCGGCAAGCACGGCCCATGTCCGTCCTCATTTGTTTGTGGGGTTTCTGTTGACATGCAGCGCTCTTCACAAGAATTAGGGCGGGCGGAAGCATTATTCGAGATGGGGGGAAGAGACTTTAGGAATGAAGTGCAGAATTCAGGATGGTTGAGAGGGAACTGAATCCCTCAAGAGTCGAGTGGGAAGGGATTCAAGGCAGGTCGGGGGAGGGTGGAAAGGACAAGAATCCAGGGCAGAGCGGGGGGCGACAGAATTCCGGGCAGTGCGACGGGGAAGAGAATTCAGCGAATAGGGACAGAAATATGATTTAGGGTTGGTGAGAGATAATAGGCAGAATAGAAGTGCAGGTGGCAGGGGGGACGGGATCGTTTTAGTCTTGGCAGTGCCGCGGGGGAAACAAGCATCAGGCCCACAGGGCTGGGAGGGGGAGGGAAGTTTTTGGTGGAAC